GATGGTTCTATTAACTACAGCGACTTGGAGTGCTTGGAACTCTTGTATACCTGTCCAATGACGAATATTTCTCAGCCAGGATAGCTTCTTTTGACCTATTCCCCTTTTGCCCCCCTCTATTTTACCCTGGAGAATCAGACGCAGAAAATGATAGCGTTCTCCACGTAGTATGTGTCCCAAATAAGCTATTTTCCTCTTCTTGATGATTTCGAATAGTTCACATTTTTCTATACCAGCTCTTCTGAGAATATCTTCGTTCCTCACACGGTCGACCCAGGGCACTCTTAGCATTCGCCGTAGGGTCCACATTTCGAAGGCTTCAATTCGGTTTATTGTTGCTACCTTCAGTGTCCATGCTTCCACGTAATATAACAAAACGGACCAGACATAGCACTTCACCATTCTGTATCTAAGGCCGAAGTTCAAGTTCCAATATGTGAGAAATCTTCGCAGTCTCAAAAAAATAGATCTTGCTTGTTTGATCCTGCATTTGATCTCCTGATCTGGATCCCACGTTTCGTTAACCATACATCGCAAATATTTCAATTGTGTGACCTGCTTGATGACTTGTTCATTTAAGTAAATTCTGGTGTTCGGAATATTGTTTCTGCTAACAGCCATAAATTTAGTGTTTGTAGTATTTATGTTTAAACCCAGTCTTTGTCTTTCATTGTTAACCTTATTTAGAAGGATTTGGAGATCATTTGCATTGATCAGTGCTTTACACTGATCTAGATTAAATTCTTATTGTTTGAAGATGTAAAGAAACCTAATTTTTTTAGCTAATGAAAACTAGAGCATTTGTTTTTTCTAGTTGTAATAGATAGAGCACCAACAAGGAATATTAAAAAAGACAATATAAGCTTATAATAATTCAGTAAGGAATAAACAAAATAAACTATTTTATATTATATTTTAATATAAATATATTTATTCTATTTGACAGAATGGAATTGTACAAGCTATACCAACACTCTGTGCATGCATCAGTGGTATTTTCATTTCATTCCTAAGTGATCTAACTGTCAAACGACGATGGCTGTCTAGATTAAACGCCAGAAGATTCTTTCAGATACTTGGTAAGTTCTTCGTAATAAATTCGTTTATTAATTAAAAACCTTCCCCATTATATGCTCGTTGAATAATATACTATTATACATTCTCTAGGGTGTACTTTTTATGGACTGGGTCCAGTAATAATGTCTTTCATCCCAGCGGCATACAACAAATGGGCTGTAGTAGTCATGTCTGTTCAAGATGTATTTTTGATCGTGTTCATCATTGGCGGTAGTAACATCAACACATTCGAAATATCACCGGTTTTCGCTGGAGTAATCAATGGAATGGCTACCACTTGCACTTCAATCTTGTTTCTCTACTAGCAACATACTTATACAAATGGGTTATTAATGATCCGGTTAGTATAATATAGGTATAGTAGTATAATTTAGTTTCTCTAGTATAATTTTAATACATACGTTTAATTGTGCTATGTTAGAAGAACAGGGCAATTAGAAGTAACGATTACTAAATAATACATTATTACAGAAAGTAAAAGAATACATTAACGTAATATTATCTTTTCTATTAGAAAAGCCTTTTGATAGATAATATTACTAGGTTCAGTTAAATTAAATCTCATAGAAAATAACTAGTAAGTATTACATGCCTGGCCTGTGTTGTACAGAATTTGGTACAGGGCTCGGAATTCTGTAACTTAGGAACGCTAAAGCGGTTTTAGACGCTCAGCGTACATGACGTTAATTTTCGCTTAGCGCGCACGTAACTACCAATTTGGTATTCTCAACTGACGCGCTTAGCTTGTATTGTATACCTGTCAGTAAAAATTGAGAAATTTTTGATTTTGTGCCTTCTCTGGCTCTTTAGTGAAAACTACTCCTTCTTTTCTAAATTTGTCAATAAGTAATTGATAATTTACGATTACGACTTGGCAGTTATAAATAATGTTCAAAACATCGAAAATGCTGCGAAGAGTCTTCAACATTTCCCTCGTATAATAAGAATAATGACAGATCCATAGAAAAATAGGTTTACATAATAACTCAACAATAGGTTATGAAATTCACGTAACATTGACATTTTTCATTTTTTTATCCACATTTGACTATAGATGCGCGACCTGAGAAATTGCGATGCTGCCAATATGTGCTCAACGCGTATCCAGAAATTAGTAGTCTACAGCACGAAAAACTAAGAACACTACAAAAAAAAACAAAAAAAATACGTAGATTTTAAAGTAACGTTTTTTTGTCTTTTAGGAAAATGTAGCAGAATGGAGGTTATCTTTTTGTATCACTGCCATCATTACCATAACTTCGGGACTAATATATGGCGTTATGGCTTCAGATAAAAGGCAGAATTGGGAAGGTGAAATAGAAGTGAATCCAAACGAAGCAAAGAGACATAGCATCACGAGTATCGAGCAGGCCATTACTAGAATGTAGTTTTTAGAGAAATATTTATTTAGGAATATTTTTATTACTGTTTATATATTTTACATACCAACAGCCTAGTATTAGCCCCTACGGCTAATACTTTCCGAGATACAGCCGAGAGCTATTCTTAGTGGGACACCCTGTATATCGAGTATTAAGAAAATAATTTTAATACTTAATTTAATCAGAATTTTTTTCAATAAAATATATATTTATAATGTAAAAAAATCATCATTTATTTTTGATGATTTGTAATTATTTTGTTTTGAGTTAATTTTTTTTAATTTTGTGTTTTTTTGTCAATTTTATAAGAGGATGATTTATACATTAATACACCAGGTGTTTCTCAAAAGTGGTTCCCCCCATTAACTTTGTAATTTTTTCAGATAATAAAACGCAATTTGGTATGTTAGTGTATGACATAAATCGGGGTTGGTTGACATATTCAAATATTTTCCGTAGCTTCCTGTCTCACCGGAAATGACTACAACTTTTAATTTTTAAATGGTACTCTCAGTATTATTTCACTTCATTTCATAAAAAATCACATTCTGAATATGACATATCATATGTCAATTTTTAACATTTTCAATTAAAAAATAGCATTTTAAATATCAATCTAGTGCCATGGCTATGTTAAAACAATTAATTTTTAATCAAGGAGCTTTGAAAAAATAAATTTAAATACAATTTTTTTAATTAAAAATGTCAAAAATTGATTTATACAGAGTGCTACAAATTCGAGGTACGAGCATTGGTATCTCGGATACCGTAATAGATATGAACATGGTTAAATTGGGGCAAAGTTTGCACTTTGGAATGTTCACTAAGATGCTATCAAAAAAGTTTTTAAAATTTCAAGGATTGCTGAGTTTTTTGGAAAAAAAACGGATTTTTTTGAAAATCAATTTTATTTTTTCCTGTCGTTGCTTTTTAGAAAATTAAAAAACCAATTTGCACATTCTCATAGCCACTTTATTAGGACTATCTGATGGTATTTTTAGATTTTCAAATTAACAATCAACTTCCCAACATTTTTTAAATGATGTAACAATTCCTCTTGTGATTACTTTTCCATAGATATCCTCATCTCTCTCCTCATGTGAATTCAGAGACAATGAACATGAAAATTATTTACCATAAACATCGCAAACTAAAAACCTAATAAACAATTTTATACCTAGTACAGAAATACATTAAGTATTCTTACCTGTTTATCGTCCAAATCCATGTTAATAGATAATTAATATTTTGGATTTTTGTCTGTTATTTTTAAATATATTTTTGGAACTGCTGGTTTTAGTAATTATTAAATTAAACGAACTAAAACGTCAGAAAAAATAAACAATTCTTAACCATAACCCTAAAAAGTACAAAAAATGCAGATCTCCTGTCAACTTTCTTTATTTTTATTTATTCCTTATTTTCCTAGTGACATCACAGGTGGTATGCGCGAACTGAACGAAATTGGAGCCGCTATCGATCATACCTTGTTTTCTTTGTACCATGTACCTACTCATAGTACACGTTGGTTGTTTAGCAGAGATCAAACTTAAAAATATCAAGAGGCAACTTTGATATCTGTAGACAGTATCGTTATTAATTTTTTTTAATAAAATAGAGTTTCCATGCGGAGTAATTAAATATAATCTAAAATAGTTTTTATTTTTTCAAATTTTTAAGAACCTTATTGATTCGGTACTAAATCTAATCTAAAAAAGGAGATCGACAAACTTAAACTTTTAAGAATAGTCGTATTTTCTGAATGGCCTGGGTTAGTAAATCCTACGAACAGCATAGTAACATGAAGTATAATAAATAATGCTCTAATCCACAATTATATCATCTCGATCAATCGAGTAAGAAAGCAGAAGCAAAGCAATATTATACATGAGATGACTGAAAATTAATTCAATTCTGTCATATGTCTCATACCAATTAAACCAGATTATATAGAAAATGTGTCACCTATTATAATGATAGCGAAAAGGGGAAAGATAATGATTTAGATGAATATAGATTTTGTAAATCCTCCTAATCCACACGAGTTTTTATTTAATTTTAAACAAGGTTAAATAATAATTTTAAGTACCGATGAATTTAGCGCCATCGTATATAGTTAACTGTAAATAACATCATAAATATAAAAAATATATAGTATTTATTTTTAAAGGGTTACTATTTGCTTTTAATTTCATGTGGTTTACATCTACGAGCCCTAACAACTATATGTTGGGATAAGGTCATATTTTGGAATTATTGCCATGGTTTTTCAAAATGACTGAAAAATATATGTTTAATTTTTTAAATATAAACATAGCCATATATCCTAAACAACTTGACAATACTTTTATGAATTTGTAAATCAATCCATATTTACAGTAGTAGTTTTTGTTCATAAAAGGACAAATTTGCTGACAACTAAATGTTGGGACAAGTATTTTTAAATAATTAATATCATCATAGGCGGCTTTGCTATAAACGTCACAAATGTCATAAACTGTTTACTTCAACATTGACAGCTTGTAAGTCACTTGATACTTTGAGTATAGTGAGATTTACTGTATGTAATTTTAATTTTTTAATTTTCAATTTAGTTAATTTAATTCAAAGTAATGGTCCGTGGAAAAGCTACAAATCAAAAACTACGCGAAATTATAATTCGTCAATACAGTATGGGAAAAACAATTCGAAAAATTTCTGATGATTTAAGTATTCGAAAAACCACGATCTTTAAAAAGGAATCGGGGAGGCCAAAGTTGTATCTCAGAGAATTTAGGAAATTGAGTAAAAATTTGCAAGTCTGCCAGAAGGAAGTACTCTTCGCGAGTAACAGTTAAAATGGAATACTGTAACTGGTTTAAATATATCAGGAGAATGTTGCCGAAAAATATATCCATAAATGCGGTCTGGGGTTTTACAAGGTAAACTTTATTTTGTGTGGATAATTAATTACCTGAAGATTATTGATACAAATTCTTTTTTAGGCCAAAGAAAAACCGCTACTGACAGAAATTCAAAAGAAAAATTGCTACAATTGGGCAAAATTTAAATTATTGTGGACACAAAATATTTGGCATAAGGTCATATTAAGCGATGAGTCTAAATTTGATATTTGCGTTGGAGTTTATCGAAAACGAATAATACGAAATAAAGCAGAAGCCTTTCATAAAGATTGCTTAAAGAGGGTTGTTAAATTTCCTAAGGGGATTATGGTGTGGGGTTGCACGTCAGCAAGAGGTTTGGGCAAATTAAATTTTATATATGGCACTATTGCATAGATGGCACCAATTTTATAGATGGCACCATCCTCAAGGAGAATTTTGATTTACGGACAAAACTGCAGGAAATTTGGGATAATTTTTCTCCTCAAATGTGTGCCAATCTGTGGTAAATACAATGCATTTAGAGTTCAGGCATTTGTTAAGGCGAAAGGTGATGTAACTCCAGTATTAAACAAATTTCTTGTTGTGCTGTGCCAATATAGTTGTCAACAGAATTTATTAATTTTGTCAAAAATAAACTATTATCAAAAGTGATTTGTTTGCAAAGTTATAAAAATATAGTAAAATTGTCTAGATCATATATTGTAATGCTTGAATTTAGAACAATAAACAAAATAAATTGAGTCGTTTTAACAATTTACTATTTTTATTGCAAAAAAAGACCTTGTCCCAACATATAGTTGTTAGGGCTCGTATGTCAAATTTAGCTGCCCTACAAATATACTATTCGTATGTGTATAGGATTATTTGATGGTCTATGTGTTCATATCAAATACACTTTTAGTCACGTGACTATAAATATGATAAATATGTAAACACTTTATTAGTTTGATCAACAAAACTCACCTTCTTGACAGCACTTAAGGGTAGGGTTGCCAACTTTCAAAGAGGACGAGAGGGTAAAAAAGAGGCACAGGCGAAACATTTTTTGAAACCTCGCCCAAATGTCTAGAATTTACCAAAAAAATTATGTCATAGTTTAACATGTTTATCACTTCCACCAAATGTTTTTTGCACCTAAATATTTCTTCATTGTATTAAGTATCACAACACAATTGGTTTAATAAGATTGACGAAAATTGCAACAAAATGTTTCAGATTAACCATTAAAATTAGAAAATAAAGGTGGAAAACTAAATGTTAAACACAAATCTTTGAGAAAGACCTTCTTCAACCAGAGCCAATTTCCCGGTTCTCTCCATACCCGAAGCCTTCTCGAATCCGGATGAATTCCAAAGCGTGACTCCTCCGTGAAGGAACATTGGCCCATTGTTCATTCGACCATTGAACATGATCTTGAGCCCACAAATATCGTACCTCTCGATTTCCTCTCGTCGGGCGGTTGAGCTCTCCAGGGGCGTCTGCTTCTTAAGTTGACCTCTCTTAATCTATTGCGAACAGTGTCAGGACTTACGGTTACATTATGTGTTTCCTGGAGAATTAAACTAAGCTCTGGTGCTGTAAGAGTCGCAGTCGGTCGGCGTCGAGCATTTAATTGTAAAAAATGATCTTGCTGAGGGGTAGTAATGCGATGTCGCCCTGTGTGCCTTTCAGCAACATCACCACTTTAACGGTAGCGTGCACTTAATCGCGATATTACACTTTGCGTTGTATTTAATGCTCTAGCTACGTCGATTTGGCGCATTCCAGCTTCGAGCAAACCCATGGCCCTTAGCATTTCGTCTCTGTTAAGATGTCTACGGTCCATAATGTCGTTTAATACTAAACAGAGTTATTTGAATGAATTCTGGCCAGTTATCATAAAAACATAGCCAGTACAGGTTAAATTCGAACAATTGATGCTAGGTGCTTTTTATACATTGGACAAAAAATGCAAAAACACTTCTG